TAAGTCCATTTAAGTGACACAAAATTTGTTATCATGATTCTCAGTTAGTCTGTTTTCTAACAACCAATGATGAGATAAGACTTAGAAGCCATGAATATAAAGAGCCAAGAATTGTAATTTTGAAGAAAAAATGGGTCCCAGCAGAGTGACTAAACATCATGTTATTTGTTAAAATCACCAAAAACCATTAATACTGTCCAATAATTAGAAAACCAGCAGCTTCATAATCCCAATTCACATGCTTAAAAACATAATCCTTCAAGCATTTACTATGCATTCAAAAATGGCATATTAATGAGTGTGCTAGATGAAGTTTGGAAAATTTGAAAGGAAGTTTGAAGCAAAATACGTAGTATATGACATAAAATCAGTAGGTTGAAGTGAAATTTAACAAAAACATGATTTTTGTTAAGAATTGAGCACTACTTTATATTCTCAAAAGGAATCCAAAATTAATGAAGATACCTCCGAGTCTCCGACAACAATTTGAGCAGTACATATGGTAAGTTGGACAGATACCAAATTATGTAAAACAGAACATCAACTCAACTGTTTTAGAATATATTTCTCTTCAAGTGGTATATATATCCACTTGAATATATTCAAAACTTATATGATCAAATGAATCTAATTTGGTGGAAGCTACATAACTTAATGGAAGTGTAGGCATAGGATAATATTCCTTCTATCTCTCAAAACTTTGACAAATTTGAACGACACCAAAAATAATAAAATAAAAACTTTGTGATTGAAATTTGTTAAGAGAAAAATAATATATAGAAAACACGAATTCATTGAGTAGAACGGAAATAAGCAAAGTTTTTGGACATCCCAAAAAGAAAAAAGACAAAATTATGAGGAATAAGGAGTACAATTATATGAAAAATTTCTAAACCAGTAGAACTATGCTTGTTGCTGCCGCAAGATAAAAGGTTAAATTTTGTCCCTACCTTTAACTAGCCATATAGTTGTCATTGTTTGAGATTCTTATTCTTTGATCGAAAGTGGAATCTCCCACCCCAGGAGCCCCCACACCCGACCCGACACAATTGTGGAGGAGTAAGTCGTGATGACTCAGTCAGCAAAGTGGGAGTAGGTCCATACACCAGTGCGCACCAGAGGCCCAACCTTATTTCAGGTGTGACCTCCACCCGGCCGGTCGCTGCGGAGATTCGAACCTTGAGATTCTTATTCTTGCAATCACGGTTGTTACTACTATTTTTATAATATGAATCATTACCAGGGTTTAATGCACCAAACCCCCCTCTGATTTGGAAATTCGGCGTATTAGCCCCTTGTGATTTAAAAAATGCGTCAAACCCCCCCTGTGTTTTAATTAATCATGCGCCAAATCCCTTATGTGAACAAATTCAATTGTCAAATAAAAGAAAAATGATTAACATTTTTGTATGATTCAGAAATTTTGACATATTTATTTGCATATTCAATCAAAATATTAGGAAAAGTGATTTTCAAATCGTTAAATTTATTCATAAAGGGGGTTCTGTGCATGATTAATTAAAACACAGGGGGGTTTGACGCATTTTTTAAATCACAGGGACTAATGCGCCGAATTTCCATAACTCTATTTGTAACATAATTGAAAAACTATGTCAAGACTCAAGATAGGCAAGAAACAATCACTTCCGAATAAAAACTTCACAACACATCATATTAAAAGAGACTAAAGGGTCAAACCGACTTTGTACATTTCAGCTGTGCTCAGTTCAATCTCTGAACGGAAAAAGATACGATTCACACTTCGAAGTTCGACTAGCAAAAAAGATTGAGGTTTCACTTTAACGAGTGAATATTTATTTACCCACCACGCCACCGTTAAGATCAAAACAAATTAAAATACATAGTAAAATAATAGAGATGAAGTGTAAAAATATACTGTGAAAATACAAATAAAAACATTTAGTGGGTAAATTTTGTGGTTAGTTCAAATTTCGAATATAGATATAAAAATATAAGAATGACAAAAATATTCTCTGTTTATCTATATTTACAATTTTGAGCATGTTATCCATGAGATGTAGATTATATCCACCACATTTCAGTTTAAAACTCAATCGAGAAGTTAGTTATATAAATTATTGAAAATATTGTGTTTTTCATATATATATATATATATATATATAGAGGAATGATCCTGTCCAGCCGGAGGGACAGGATCTTCCGTCCGGCCGCCGCCGTTTGGGGCGGTTCCCGGTGGAGTTTTTTGATGAAATTTTTATGGAATGTTCCTCATCAAGTCTAGTTTATCCACAAAAAATTTCAGCTAAAAATTCGATCGGGAAGACAGTCAAATAATTTTTTGAAGATAACTGCTCCAACTTAAACATATAAAACACAGTTATGTTTAAAAAAATTATTTGACTGCCTTCCCGATCGAATTTTTAGCTGAAATTTTTTGTGGATAAACTAGACTTGATGAGGAACATTCCATAAAAATTTCATCAAAAAACTCCACCGGGAATCGCCCCAAACGGCGGCGGCCGGACGGAGGATCCTGTCCATCCGGCTGGACAGGATCTTTTCCGTATATATATATATATATATATATATATATATATATATATATATGGCGGGTGGAATGTTTTGATGAAATTTTTTGAGTATATTCTTCATCAAGTCTAGTTTATCCATACCAAATTTCAGCTCAAAATTCGATCGGAAAGACAGTCAAATAAATTCTTGAAATATATGGCGCATTCTGCGCACATATAATGTGCCGTATATTTCAAGAATTTGTTTGACTGTCTTCCCGATTGAATTTTGAGCTGAAATTTGGTATGGATAAACTAGACCTGATGAAGAATATGCTCAAAAAATTTCATCAAAAAATTCGACCGGGAAGGGCCTCAGATGGGCTTTGTCCGTACGGAGCTTCTTGTACATCCCATATATATATAGGGATGAGTTCAAATGAGAAGACATCTTAATGTGTAAAATGAGAATTAATCTCAGCCGTCCAAACTGTCGATCTGATGCACAATAGCTCCTATCTGATGCACTTTCGAATAGACCTGATTTGATGCACTTTTCGAAAAGTGTATCAAATCATGTCTATTTGAAAGTGCATCAGATAGGGGTTATTGTGCATCAGATCGACAGATTAGACGGCTGAGATTAATTCTCATTTTACACGTTAAGACTTTTTTTTATTTGATCCAAATTCTATATACTACCTCCGTCCCTTAAAACTTTGCCAAAGTTGACTGGCACGGAGAATAATAAAGTAAAAACTGTGTGGTTGAGGTTTGTGCAGAGGAGAGAGAAATAACAGAAACCACAAAATAATTGATTAAAATGGAAAGTGGCAAAGTTTTTTGGGACGTCCCAAAAGGGAAAGATGGCAAAGTTTTAAGGGACGGAGGGAGTATAATTAATCTCAGCCCTCTAAACTGTTGATCTGATGCACAATAACCCCTATCTGATGCACTTTTGAATAGACTTCAATAGGGATAAATTTTCGGAAATTGTCCTAGATAGGACTAATGAGTTCCTAAAAAGCACAAATAGGACTACTACTTTTTAAATCCCCTAAATAGGGCTAAACATTGATTTTCTACCCTAAATATCCCTAAGAGTATTAATTCATAATGAAATGCTTTAATTCATAATAAAATCATAAAAAAACGTAAAAATATTTAAAAAACGTAAAAAAATTATAAAAAATTTATAAAACATTTATAAAATAAAAAATTTAATTATTAATTTTTTTTATTTTTATTTTAAATAATAAAAAATAGTTAAAACCCATTAAAAATGAAAAAGGTTATGGATACCTTTCTCACCTTCTCCTGCCGCATTCCAGCACCACCACCCCCGATTGGTGAAATTTCTTCCACTTTTGGTAAAAAATGTCATCTTTTTTTGAAAATGCCAAAAATATGGCATAATTACTCTTCAATATGCCAACATTTTCATTGAATATGCCATCATTATGGCATTATTTAAAAATGTTGGCATATTTTTCTCCGGTGATGGGAGTTGGTGGTGCTGGGGGTGGCAGGGGTGGTAATGTTTTTTTTTTAATTTTTCGATTTTTTATTCTTCTAATTTTTAAAAAAATATTTATTTTTACTTTTTTTAAAAAAATATTTTTTATTAATTTTCTATAATTTTTTTTTACGATTTTTAGTATTTTTTTGATTTTTTTTTATGGTTTTATTAATAATTAAAACATTTCACAAGTTATAATGATATATTTGTCCAAGCACACATAAATAATTCTATTAAGGGAATTTAATAAATGTATTCTTAGAGCATCTCCAATGCTAGACTTTGGACATTAAAAAAATTGTGACACATGTCAGTAATTGTATGGAATGTTATACCACATAGGATTGATGTCAAAACTTGAGAAAGTAAACCTCGGAAGTGGTAAACAATGCATAGGATTGTTTCAAGTACGTGTGTCGTTTTTTAAATTAAAAACAAATGAAAGTAATTGCAAAAGAAAAATTCATCAACTGCAAAATAAAAAATCCACCCGTATTTTACCCACGAAGAGCCTCAGTTGCTGACTCGGCCAGTGTAATTGGCTTTGCAATTTGATAAAGTAGGTTTAACATTGTTACGGTTATTTCTTACACCTCAGCACAATGTTAATTGATGAAAGAGTCCATTGCACGGCAAAAAAATCGAACACCTTGTAACTTTCTAATGTGGCAAGGATTTTTTAATGTCAAAAGTGTGGGGTTGAAGATGCTCTTATTTGTGCAATTTTACGGTTTTTATCACTTTTTAGTCCTATTTAGGGAATTAACTCGTAAATTTTCGTCAAATACGAAGTAGTACGAGTTACGAGGGAACATAGAAAGATTCGCGTGATGTAAAAAAAACCTGCCATTGCATTAACAACAAAAACTACTTGTTGTGTATCGAAACCGCTCGAACCTTTTATGGTGTGGGCCCCCTGTGTTTTATTCCGTACTTTGTATTAGGTAGTTTTAACCAACTGGGAGTCTTACGCATTATCGCCTCCCGAACTTGAACGCCGAATCGGAGGAGCTCCACTTTTTTTGGCTTTATTTATTTCCCTTGAATTTAGGCAGATTTCTGTTTTCCAGTCTCCACCTACCACTCTACCTACCCTCTCTATTACTTCATATAGTTGTTTGTTTGATCCAACCATCCTGGGCGACAGGACTCTTCCCAAATCAATCAACCAAATTTGGGTTCTCGTCATACTTTACAGTTTCGGATTGACAGTTTTGGGATTGTGTCCTGCTCGGCGATAAGACTTTTTGTTTTCAGAAATCAATCTGAATTTGTTTACTTCATAGTTTTGTTTTGAATTGATAGTTTTAGCGAGGAGACATGTCTGCGGCTTTGGGTCCGAACTCAGTTTTGCACAGCCGTGACCTTGTAGTGCCGTCCCCGGCCAGGGGCCTGTTGAACCGGTTGGGACGGCTGCCAATAGGAGGAGCTGGAAGAGCTGCTGCTACTGCTAAGAGGGCGAATTGTTCTCTGTCCAAAGGACACCGTAGTTTAGCGGAAAAGAGGTTTTATGGGACGAAGCTCCGATCTTTGGGCTCTGAAAGTTTGCATCTTTGGCAATCGGATCGGCTCGGCAGAGCTTCCAAGCAGCGAATTGTTGTGCGTTCCTCGTTCTCTCAGGTTCCCGAGAAGCCACTCGGTCTCTATGATCCCGCCTACGATAAGGACTCGTGCGGGGTGGGATTTATTGCTGAGCTTTCCGGTCAAAGCAGCCGCAAGACGGTATAAACAATATATTACATGTTTGGATACTATGCTGTAATTGTAATTCTTGTGTATTTTTAGTTCTTGTTTCTAAAGCTTTAAACTTTGGTGTGCAGGTGACAGATGCAATTGAGATGTTGGTGCGAATGTCTCACCGAGGCGCGTGTGGTTGTGAGACGAATACCGGTGACGGCGCTGGCATTCTTGTGGATCTTCCTCATGACTTTTACAAGGAGGTCAGTATGCTAATTTTAACACAGTTTATAGTTTACCATTTTTTTTGCGTAGTATTTCTTCATGAAAAGCCTCTGAGTATTTAATTCAGCAATGTAGCCATGCTTGTTTCAAGGGAGTTCATTTTTTTCTTGAATTTGTTAAAAGTGCTGTTTTTTATTCCACATCAGAAAACAGATGGAAAATCTAACTCTATGTTTTGTACAGTTTAAATTTTATAGTGTTGGCCCCTCAAGACACTAGGGAATTGACTACCATATTCTTCTTCACCGTGTTTCAGGTTGTGAAGGATGTTGGGTTTGAGCTACCCGCACCTGGACAGTACGCAGTTGGCATGTTCTTCATGCCCACTGATGATGTGCGAAGAGAGAAAAGTAAAAGTATATTTACAACGGTAACTTTAAGCCCTAATACTTGGTTTGTTTTCACTATTTTAATATCATGTAAACTTGAATTATGATGGAAGTGGTTTGCTAGTTCAGGTGACTACTATATATTTACACTTCTAAAGTGAGCTTTTGATTGATTATATAGGTAGCTGATTTACTTGGCCATAAAATCATTGGATGGAGACGTGTCCCAAGAAATAATTCAGGACTGGGAAACTCTGCTTTGAAGACAGAGCCTATCATTGAGCAAGTATTTGTTACTGAAACTCCCCGGTCCAAGGTTGATTTTGAGCGACAGGTAGTTGAGGAGTATGGTGATTTTCCTGTTACCTTGAAAAGCTATTTAGCTTAGGTACAATTTGAGTTTGAATTTGATGCATGACAGATGTACATATTACGGAGAGTTTCTATGCTAGCAATTCGAGCTTCTTTGAACCTCCAACATGGTGACCATAAAGATTTCTATATATGTTCTCTTTCGTCAAGGTGAGTTTCCATTTATTTATTTATTTATTTATTTATTTATTTATTTATTTATTTATTTATTTATTTATTTATTTATTTATTTATTTATTTATTTATTTATTTATTTATTTATTTATTTATTTATTTATTTATTTATTTATTTATTTATTTATTTATTTATTTATTTATTTATTTATTTATTTATTTATTTATTTATTTATTTATTTATTTATTTATTTATTTATTTATTTATTTATTTATTTATTTATTTATTTATTTATTTATTTATTTATTTATTTATTTATTTATTTATTTATTTATTTATTTATTTATTTATTTATTTATTTATTTATTTATTTATTTATTTATTTATTTATTTATTTATTTATTTATTTATTTATTTATTTATTTATTTATTTATTTATTTATTTATTTATTTATTTATTTATTTATTTATTTATTTATTTATTTATTTATTTATTTATTTATTTATTTATTTATTTATTTATTTATTTATTTATTTATTTATTTATTTATTTATTTATTTATTTATTTATTTATTACTTTCTTTTTCGGTTCTGTTTTTTCTTTTAGCTTTTGTTTGGCAGGCTGTTGTAAGTTTTTGATAAAATATTTAATTAAACACATTGAGTCAAATAAGAAATTCCTTGCTTTTTAAAGCTTTTTATAGTAAAAGACTTTACTAGGATTAGGACAGCCGTCGAGAGAAACAAAAGTCCACAAACCTCCTAATTGACACCAACGAGTAAAATCTCCTTGCGCTGCAGCACGAAAAAATTGTAGAATAATTCATTTCAATTCAAATATATTGAAAAAAAGATCACTCAATCCCTAAATATTTTTTTGACTTCTCAGTCCATACTTTTATTATCTATCTTATCCCACTAAGATTGTCTCATACCAAGTTTGGTAAAATTTGGTAAGATTGTGTGGTTCTATGTGTGGTTCTAAATCAATTTTACTTTATTTTTTTCTTTATCAATTCAATATCAACCACAAAAGCTCACTTTTCTTAACAACTGCACCACCTCCTAATGTCCCAATGTTAGTGGGATGGAGGTAGTATTTATTTGTTTATTACCCTCAGGAGTTGTAACACTAATGTGACACAGTTTTTTTAAAATTTGATCTTGCCTCACGGTGCAGGACTGTTGTCTACAAAGGCCAGTTAAAGCCTGATCAATTGCAGGAATACTACTATGCAGATCTTGGCAATGAAAGGTTTACGAGCTACATGGCACTGGTAATTATATTATCCATTCACCTATTTATTGTACACTGACTCCATACTTGAACAACCAACAGCATTGGATCACAATCCTAACTGGAAGAAATGCAAGGTTGAGAAAATGACTTCTGAGGCATTGAAGCATGTATGATCTCTTAAGTTCTTCCACTTGATCAGTGTTTGAGTTGGATTCTTGGTTCAGTCGGTAAGGACATCATTATGAAGCCATCAATGCTTGCAGAAAACATGATGCTATCCTTTCTATGATTACTTCCAAGTATGAAACCTCAATTATTGGTGGAAAGAGATTGTGAATGCTGTAGGTTACCTAGGGTTTCGATCCATGTTGTGAAGCAGCTGTAAAAAACCAAAAGCCAAAGATATTTATGAATCCGTGTAGTTGCTGTTTCGATTTCTTTTGTGATTTCTTTTAATGGGTTTCTGGTACAGGTTCATTCTAGGTTCTCAACGAATACTTTTCCTAGTTGGGATCGTGCTCAACCCATGCGTGTCTTGGGTCACAATGGGGAAATTAATACACTCCGTGGCAATGTAAATTGGTAAGTCTAATATTTCTTAAATTCGAGCAGAATCCTTATGCCTTTAGGGGGTGTGCTTGTCATCAAAATCGAAGGTTAAGATTATTGTTCTACATGTCAATGGTTCTTTTTAAATCAACATTTTCTCTTGCATTAATGCTGATTAGTGTTGCCTTTATTCATCTACAGGATGAAGGCTCGTGAGGGTCTCCTTAAGTGCAAGCAGCTTGGCCTTTCTAAGTCAGAGATGACGAAGATTTTACCTATTGTTGATGCTAGTTCCTCTGATTCAGGTTTTGCACACCTTTCAATCTTGAACCTTTCCGTACCTTTAGGTGTTGTTGCAGTTATGAATGACCTTATCTTCATGTTATTATGTATATCTGATTTGTGGTCCTGTTTATGTTCGCTAGGAGCGTTTGATGGTGTACTTGAACTCTTAGTTCGTGCTGGTAGAAGTCTACCTGAAGCTGTGATGATGATGATTCCTGAAGCCTGGCAAAATGATAAGAACATGGATCCTGAAAGGAAGGCTTTATATGAATACTTCTCAGCTCTCATGGAACCTTGGGATGGGCCTGCCCTTATTGCATGTATGTATTGAGCCTTGGGATTTTTTTTAATTTAAAGCATCTTGGGTTTTTTAATTCTATTTTTTGAGCTCAATCTTTTTTGTAATAATTGAAGTTACTGATGGACGCTACCTTGGAGCAACATTGGATCGCAATGGACTTCGGCCTGGCCGGTTTTATGTCACACACAGCGGCCGAGTTGTAATGGCAAGTGAAGTTGGTGTAGTTGATGTTGCACCTGAGGATGTGAGTAGAAAAGGAAGGCTCAATCCTGGAATGATGCTTCTTGTGGATTTTGATAACCATGTTGTTGTGGATGATGATGCTCTGAAACAACAATATTCTCTTGCTAGACCTTATGGGGAGTGGCTTGCAAGGCAAACTATACAATTGAAAGACATAGTTGAGTCTGTAAAAGAATCTGACAGGACGCCTCCACTAATTGCAGGAGTTTTACCAGTAAGCTATTGATCTCTTACTACCTCCATCTTTTCATTAACTTTCACTTTTTTTTAATGTGTTCTTTGTATTTATCACTTTAGGCATCCAATGATGATGATAACATGGAAAACATGGGCATTCAGGGTTTATTGGCTCCATTAAAGGCCTTTGGGTATGTATCACTGTTATTTTCCGCTATAAAGAAGAATATTAATTGTACCCTCTTCTACAAAGAGGAAATAGTTCATCAATTTTATGACCTTCATGTAGCTACACTGTCGAGGCCTTGGAAATGTTGCTACTCCCTATGGCAAAGGATGGGGTTGAAGCTCTTGGTTCTATGGGTAACGATGCTCCACTTGCTGTGATGTCCAACAGGGAGAAACTCTTATATGACTATTTCAAGCAGATGTTTGCTCAGGTTACAAATCCACCAATTGATCCTATTAGGGAAAAAATTGTCACTTCCATGGAGTGTATGGTTGGTCCAGAAGGAGATCTCACGGAGACGACCGAAGAGCAGTGTCACCGCCTCTCACTCAAAAGTCCTCTCTTGAGCATTGAAGAGATGGAAGCCATTAAAAAGACGAACTACAGAGGCTGGAAAAGCAAGGTTATTGATATCACCTATCCTAAAGAACATGGTAGTAAGGGTTTAAAGGAGACGTTAGATAGGATCTGTTCTGAAGCACATGAAGCGATCAACGAGGGTTATTCTACACTCGTGCTTTCTGACAGAGGTATTTCAGTTCACTGAGTTCATGTACTCATATTTTCTGTTCCATGATATTAATTTCTTTTTGTTCTCTTCATCAACTGGAATAGCTTTCTCGCCCAACCGTATTGCTGTGAGCTCCTTGCTGGCTGCTGGGGCGGTACATCAACATCTGGTTAAAAATCTCGAGCGTACTCGTGTTGCACTGGTTGTTGAATCAGCTGAACCCCGTGAGGTGCACCATTTTTGCACACTTGTAGGTTTTGGAGTGGATGCCATCTGCCCTTATTTGGCGACAGAAGCTATATTGAGGCTACAGGTTGATGGAAAGATCCCACCAAAGGCAACCGGTGAGTTCCATACCAAGGATGAGCTTATTAAGAAGTATTTCGAAGCAAGCACGTATGGGATGATGAAGGTTCTTGCTAAAATGGGCATTTCAACTTTGGCCTCATACAAAGGTGCTCAAATTTTTGAGGCTGTGGGCCTTTCATCAGAAGTAATGGTGCGGTGCTTTGCTGGAACTCCAAGCAGAGTTGAGGGTGCCACTTTTGAAGCACTTGCACAAGATGCAATTAAGTTTCATGAACTGGCATTTCCTTCACGTTCTCTCCCTGCCGGAAGTTCAGAGGCTGTAGCACTCCCTAACCCCGGTGATTATCACTGGAGAAAAGGAGGTGAGATTCATCTCAACGATCCCCTTGCTATAGCCAAATTACAGGAAGCTGCCAGATCCAACAGTGTGGCTGCCTACAAGGAATACTCCAAGCGTGTCCAAGAATTAAACCAACAATGTAATTTAAGGGGTCTTTTGAAGTTCAAAGAGACAGGAGTGAGAATTCCTCTGGAGGAAGTTGAGCCGCCTACTGAGATAGTAAAGCGTTTCTGCACTGGAGCTATGAGTTATGGGTCGATATCACTGGAAGCTCATACAACCCTTGCTATTGCAATGAACAGAATTGGGGGGAAATCAAACACAGGTTGGTCATTGCCTTTGAATTACGAAATGGTTGTAATTTTAACTGATTTTTCCCTTGGCTGAATTCATGATTGACCGGAAAATGTGATTATGTTAAATGATATTCACAGGTGAGGGAGGTGAACAGCCGTCTCGCATGGAGCCTCTTCTGGATGGATCCAGCAACCCTAAAAGAAGTGCAATTAAGCAGGTTGCAAGTGGAAGATTTGGAGTCACAAGTTATTATCTCACAAATGCTGATGAATTACAAATAAAAATGGCCCAGGTACACTCTTAATAAGTTTTATGGAATTGATACAAGTTATCCAGAATGTTTAGTATCCAAACTGATTGTGTGGAATTGATTCTATGACCTTTGAGCATCTTTGCATTTTAATTGATATGGTATACTGAAATTTTTGTTCTACTTTGTGTTTTCCCTGATCTGCAGGGAGCAAAACCTGGAGAGGGTGGTGAACTTCCTGGACACAAGGTCATTGGTGACATTGCTGTCACTAGGAACTCCACTTCTGGGGTAGGACTAATTAGTCCTCCTCCCCACCATGATATATACTCTATTGAAGATCTTGCCCAATTGATTCACGATCTTAAGGTAAATCTGCGTAGATAATGCCTCTTGGAATGACGAGCTCTGCATTCTAAACTGACCCCGTTTGTCATTTGAGCAAATAATTGTTTCTAATATTCTTACCATTCTTGTAGAATGCAAACCCAGGGGCTCGAGTAAGTGTGAAACTAGTTTCTGAAGCTGGTGTTGGGGTGATTGCAAGTGGTGTTGTGAAAGGGCATGCTGATCATGTTTTGATCTCTGGTCATGATGGTGGTACAGGTGCATCAAGATGGACTGGAATCAAGAGTGCTGGACTTCCATGGGAACTTGGTCTTGCTGAGACTCATCAGACTTTAGTTGCGAATGACCTTCGAGGCCGAACCACTCTGCAGACAGATGGGCAGTTAAAAACCGGAAGGGATGTGGCTATTGCTGCACTTCTGGGTGCAGAGGAGTTTGGTTTCAGCACTGCACCTTTAATAACACTAGGATGCATCATGATGCGAAAATGCCATAAAAACACTTGTCCTGTGGGGATTGCGACTCAAGATCCTGTTCTTCGGGAAAAGTTTGCTGGAGAACCAGAACATGTTATAAATTTCTTCTTCATGCTAGCAGAAGAGGTAAGGGAAATCATGTCCTCTCTTGGTTTTCGAACACTCAAGGAAATGGTTGGCCGTTCTGACATGCTTGAGCTAGATGAAGATTTAGTCAAGAACAATGAGAAGCTGAAGAACATTGATCTCTCTTTGCTACTCCGACCTGCTGCTGACATCCGATCAGATGCTGCTCAATACTGTGTGCAGAAGCAAGATCATGGTTTGGAAATGGCTTTAGATAACACATTAATAGAATTGTCCAAAGCTGCTTTAGAGAGAAGCCTTCCTGTATACATTGAAACTCCGATCTGCAATGTCAACCGGACAGTTGGCACCATGCTTAGTCATGAAGTAACAAAGCGTTATCACATGAGTGGGCTGCCCACTGACACAATTCACATCAAACTCAGCGGAAGTGCAGGACAGAGTCTTGGAGCTTTTCTGTGCCCTGGAATAACCCTTGAGCTTGAAGGAGATAGCAATGACTATGTGGGGAAAGGGCTTTCAGGTGGAAAGATTGTTGTTTATCCTCCAAAACAAAGCACGTTTGACCCAAAAGAGAATATTGTAATCGGAAACGTTGCACTGTATGGGGCAACAAGTGGGGAGGCTTATTTTAATGGAATGGCAGCAGAAAGATTCTGTGTCCGTAATTCAGGGGCTAAGGCTGTAGTAGAGGGTGTTGGTGATCACGGATGTGAATACATGACAGGCGGAACAGTAGTTGTGCTTGGAAAAACTGGACGAAACTTTGCTGCTGGAATGAGTGGGGGCATCGCATATGTACTTGATGCAGATTCCAAGTTCAGGTCACGCTGCAACACTGAGTTAGTAGACCTTGATAGAGTCGAAGATGAAGATGATATTATGACAGTTAAGATGATGATTCAGCAACACCAACGTCATACAAACAGCAAAGTTGCAAAAGAAGTTCTTGCTGATTTTGACAATGTTTTGCCCAAGTTCATCAAGGTCTTCCCTAGAGAGTATAAGCGGGTCCTTACAAGCATGAAAGAATCTGAAGCTAGCAAAAAGGCTGTGGAATCTGCAGCCAATGAAGCTAAGGAGCACGATGAAAAAGAATTGAGGGAGATCGATGCTTTTGAAGAGTTGAAGAAATTGGCGGCTGCGTCCTCTAATGGGAAACTTGACCAGGTGTTCTTTTTGTGTGTCATATTTTTTTTTTCTGTTACTTGTGATAACTGGGACAATTAAGGCATAGTATTATGGATTTATTGACGTTTTTGTGTGTGATGCACTCCATGTTTTAATATATGTGATTATTACTTTCACTTATCATGTTGGTGTCTTTAAGGCAGAGTAATCTGATCATACTCCAGTTCAGTAATCCTTACTGCCTAACAACTTTTTTCACACTTTAGTCATGCTGATATAGACCAGTGAGTACTCCCTCTGTCTAGAAATGAAATTGAGTAACGTTTTAAGATTTTTTTTTTTAAAGAGAGTGTGGTTTCAATAGGCAACTTAAAGTTTTAAGTAAATCCGGTGAAGTAATGTGGTAAGTTTTTTTTGTCAATTACTCCATGCATTCTTGCAAATAAGTTTTAATGGTACACAAGTCATCATTCTGTTATTGCTGTCTGTGTCTCCTGCATTGGTACCTTTGTTTAGATTTTAGTGCAGTTAAAACAACTAACACCTTATATACTTGTAGGAGTCAAAATCTGTAATTTTCTTTTTCTGTTTCAGTGCATTTGTATCAATCTATGCTTATTTTCTGTTTTCATGGTAGAACACTAGTAGCACAGTTGACTCGAGATTCTCAAGAATCTTAGTTTAACCTCATATGTGCAGTGCATTGCTATATTGGTATGTTATATGTGCATATTGTCAACAGGGACTGGTATCTGGTAACCACATCCCATTTTCTCTTTCACGCACCTTGTGTACTATTTGCTACCATCTTTGCTTATATCCTTGCAACTACCAGGATGAGGAAGTCAAATCTGTGAAGAGACCAACCAAAGTTGATGAGGCAGTCAAACATCGGGGTTTTGTTAACTATGAGCGAGAAGGAGTTTCATATAGGGACCCAAACGTTCGCTTAAGAGACTGGAAAGAAGTCATGGAAGAGACTAAACCTGGCCCACTTTTGAATACACAGTCGGCACGCTGTATGGACTGTGGTACTCCTTTTTGCCACCAGGTACATGCATACATCTAGAATCAATTTTCTCACAAATGGATATTCTGTTTCTAATATTGAAATTTATTGTGTTGTTTTTAAAATAACGCACAGGAAAACTCTGGCTGTCCTCTAGGAAATAAAATACCCGAATTCAATGAACTGGTGTATCAAAATAGATGGCGTGAAGCACTCCATAGGCTTCTAGAGACTAATAACTTTCCAGAGTTCACGGGTCGTGTGTGTCCTGCTCCTTGCGAGGGATCATGTGTACTTGGTATCATAGAAAACCCAGTCTCTATCAAAAGCATTGAATGTGCTATCATTGACAAGGGTTTTGAGGAGGGCTGGATGGTGCCACGACCTCCTGAAAAGAGAACGGGGTATGATTTTCACTCTAATGTCTTCCTTAATACTCCCTCCGTCCCGCCATGATTGTCCCATTTTACCTTTTCGGTCCGTCCCACTAGGGGAGAACAAACCCGACCCTACCCGATGATTGACCCGACCGGATATATCCGAATTTTTTGTTTGGGTCGGAAAACCCGACCCGAAATACCCAAACCCGATCCGATTCTTGCAACCCGAGACTTAAGCGGGTAGCGGGTAGGGTTACCAATTATGCAACCCGACCCGCCCGACCACCCGAAATACCCATGGCATATATACTCCTTATATACCTAATTGTACTGTTCAGTGTTAACTGTTAAGCTCGTATATACCAATTATCATTTGTATATACCAATTATTATTTTATTTATCACAATATCAAATATGTCACTCACCGTATATTATTATTTTACATGATCAAATATGTCGATTGCTGTATTTATACAACTATTACTTTGAATGTTATACTAATATAACTTTGAATGATATTTTTACCAATTACCATTTTATTTATCACAATCTCAACAATAATAAATTATAACCCGAATGGACCCAAAAACCGAATCAACCCAACTCAACCCGAAAAACCTGATAATTTTTTTCGATAGGGTAGGGTTTGAAATTATCAATCCGATAACCGAACGGGTTTACAATTTTTGAAACCGACCCGCCCGAACCCGACCCGTGCTCTGCCCTATGTCCCACTAAGATTGTCCCATACCTTATTTGGTAAAATTTGTGTGGTTCTAAATTATTCTTACTTTATTCTTACTTTATCAATTCAATATCAACCACATAAACTCACTTTTATTAATAAACGTGTCATCTTTTCTTGTCCCAAACTTAGGGGGACGGAGGTAGTATGATCTATCCCATTTGTTCTTACTCAACTTTGCACTTTGTAGTGTTTTTTGATTGGACATTTTGACCTGGGTGTATTCTGGTGTATTCTAATATAAAGAAAGTTTTTACTGTGTAATGTTCACATCCATAATAATCACATTTGGTGTTCAGAAAACAAGTTGCTGTTATTGGAAGTGGACCAGCTGGTCTGGCTGCTGCTGATCAGCTGAACAAAAAAGGTCATACTGTGACAGTTTTTGAGCGCTCCGATCGGATAGGTGGTCTTATGATGTATGGAGTGCCCAACATGAAGGCTGATAAAACTGATATAGTTCAGAGACGGGTAGATCTAATGGAGAAGGAAGGTATTAACTTTGTCGTCAATGCTAATGTGGGGAAAGATCCTCTGTTCTCCCTTGACCGGCTTCAGGAGGAGCATGATGCAATTGTTTTAGCTATAGGATCCACAAAACCTAGGTAAGGACTGTGGTTAACGTACTATTTTGTTGTTTCTATATATATTTATAGGTAATGGCTTCATGCTTATACCACATGATATTAGCTTTTTGGGTGAAATAGAAGATTACCTTAGGTCCTTTGTGTGGATGATAGTTAATGGACTTATTTTGCAGGGACCTTCCTGTTCCTGGCCGTGAATTGTCTGGAGTTCATTTCGCTATGGAGTTCCTTCATGCTAACACTAAAAGCTTGCTTGATAGCAATCTTGAGGATGGTAATTACATTTCTGCCAAAGACAAGAAGGTGGTAGTTATTGGGGGTGGTGACACCGGCACGGATTGTATAGGGACTTCTATTCGACATGGCTGCAGCAGTGTAGTGAACCTAGAGCTTCTCCCCCAACCTCCGATGTCTAGGGCTGCAAGCAATCCTTGGCCCCAGGTCTGACCATGTCCCTTGAATGTTTATGCTATTTCCTGCTAGTTTTGTTACTTGAACCAGTAATATGATTGCTAATCATATTGGTTAATTAATTAGTAACTGTTTAGTTTTTATGATTTTTGCTAAGTCTCTATCTTTTTCTTGTTTTTGCTAAGTCATCCACTCATCCCACACTAATCTTTTATTGTCTTATGATTTGTCTTGGGTGTTGCTTTAAATCACTATTTTGCGGGCATGTTGAGCCAGCCCACACTAACCAAAAGATAGAGACTCACACATAAGACCTTATGTTTGGTATTGCTTCAAATTTACATTTTGATGGCCCCACAAGGTAACTAGCACAAAAACAGGAAATAAGAAATGTGAAAAGTGGGAAACGTGAAAGGCGATAAATGGGTTTTTGAGAAAATATAGGATATAGAATGTGGGCGTAACACATAAATATTAAAATTAGAAAACTATTTATTAATATTTATTCAGATATATATATATATAGAGAGAGTAATCTTCCGGTCAGGACTTCTTGACCGGAATCGCCGTCCGGACTCCACAATTACGAAAATTGGGCAAACCGACTTCCTGGTTCTTTTTAATTACGAAAATGGCGGTGAAATGGGAATTCAAAGTATCCGATTTACTTTCAAATTTCCAAAATGGGTAAACATGGGATGTTAATTGGATTGAAATTTTCTAGTTTGGTTCAATTTGGCCTATTTAAGTCTTGTCTGGTTTGATTTAGTTTGTTCAAGTCTGGCCTGGTATTTTACAGACTGTGTTTAAGTTTGGTCTGGTTTGATTTAGTTTGTTCAAGTCTGGCCCGGTATTTTACGGACTGAAATCAGTCTAATTAAAACATCCATGAACCACAAGCCTTAATGTTAGAATAGTTCACGAGGCATAATTAATCTCTTGGCTTTGCAGTACATGGCATTTCTCTCTTTATTGATACATCGTATAAATGATGTTATTGACAGTGGCCTCGGGTGTTTCGAGTTGATTATGGACATCAAGAGGCTGCTACAAAATTTGGCAAGGATCCAAGGTCTTATGAGGTGCTAACAAAGCGGTTTATCGGAGATGAAAATGGTGTGGTGAAAGGTCTTGAAGTTGTTCATGTGAAATGGGAGAAGGATGCAACAGGGAAATTTAATTTCGAGGAAATCAAAGGTTCTGAGGAAATCATTGAAGCGGATATAGTTTTGCTTGCGATGGGTTTCCTTGGCCCTGAATCTGTAAGTGTTCTTTTGTGATATAATATAGATAGAAAAAATTACATAGCAAAAATATGAATGCAAAAACAACAATTTCACCATTTTCTATACATACAAGGAAAACAGTAGCAGTAACTGTATTAGTAGTAGTACCTCCACTGATTTCACCTGCGATGTTGGTTTCTATTATCCGGTGGTGACGTCTCTGACTACTAACCGGCAACAACATCGGCTGCCATTATTCGGCTCCAGTACCAACTGCAGGTGGCACCTTCTCGTGTCGCCGCCTACTGGAGGAGCTACTTTAGCTTTGCCTCATGTAGTAGGTTCTACTATATGATATTACCTTGCCACCTTTACCACCGGAGTTAGTTGGTAGCAGTAGCAGTACCGTGGATTACAGTACTACAATAAAAAAAGATCACGTAGAATCCCATATTGTCTTAAATTTCGATCTTCAGACATAGAAGAGTTTTTTGTAAACCAGAATTTCGTCACATTGATTTTTAAATTTATATTATGATCTTATGTGTGAAATTTACTCATCATAATCGTGGCATGCATGTGATTGTTCAGACCATAGCTGACCAACTGGGCGTGGAGAAAGATAACAGATCGAACTTAAAAGCTGAATATGGACGCTTTGCCACAAATGTGGAAGGTGTGTTTGCAGCAGGGGACTGCCGTAGAGGCCAGTCTCTAGTGGTGTGGGCCATCTCAGAGGGGCGACAAGCGGCTGCACAAGTTGACTGTTACCTCATGCGAGATGAAGATGACTCTATTTGTAGCACTGCTGGGCTGAATCGGAGATTTTGTCAAGCAGCAGCAAGGTAGGAGGAAAAGACATCTTTCATGTTTGAAATATAGGAGGAATTAGTGATTGGTTTTTTTTTATTGTGTGCATTCGATTGGATGGTAATGTTTTTGTTATGTTAGGTCGTTTTCTGGTTATATTTCGTTATAGTTAATGATGCCTGTTGGTTTGAAGGAGCAGCAAGGCATAGCAGCAAAGATGTATAGTTTTGTTATTAAATAATTCATTCACATCTCAGTGATGATGAATGTTGGATGACAATAAGTTATAGATGGCATCTCATATTTTTTGCACCCCTCTTTACTTGATGTTCATTTTTGTATTGATTGTGAATTTGTTTAAAAAAATTGAAGAACCTACAGCTCATCTCTCATTCATCAAACAATCATTTGTCACTTGAAAGGGCTGCCCTAGCTAAACCATGGGCCGCACTGCCCGCACGACTCGCGGGTCCAAATTATATTCTCTACCACCTGCATTAGAAAGGGCTGCCCTAGCTAAACCATGGGCCGCACGACTCGCGGGTCCAAAATCTCACATTTTTTCTCCTCCATTAGGGTAGGTTGGCCCAAATAATTGTTGCATCTCTTCCCACTCAGGACTCCCAACAAATCACTAAACCTGTTTTTCTCCCCATTAATGACAATTGGGTGGAAATAAATACTACCTCCGTTCTCCGTCCCATATTGATTTGCAAATTTGACTTTTTTTGGTCAAACAGCTCCGTTTTATCCACTTAATCAGGATATCAATTGTTAATTACATTCTAATTTGGAGTTTACAACTTTGAAGAGATCTTAATGTAGTTTATGAATATGTAAATTTCAATTATTAAAAACTTATCCATATGGAGGGTTGATTTTTATTATTAGTTGACCAAAAAATATTGACTTTGCAAAACAAATTAGGACGAAGTGAGTAATAGATTTTGGGAGATTTATTTTCTGTCCCCTTTCATAGGATGGAGTACATCTCGGATCATAGTATCATACCACATCCCTCCCTTGTACTGAGACATAAAAAGTCGTCATCTACAAAGAGTAAATGAGACACCTTAAGGCTTAAGAGCACCTCACCGTGTTTGCCCAAGTTCTCATTTCTTTTTGTAAACGCACTCGTACTTTTAGCCATAAATAAATAAATAAATAAATAAATAAATAAATAAGGAAATAGGGGTCGCTTGTCTAAGTCCCCTCTAAGGTCCAATTGTTGTGCCATCAAATGGAATATGTTTGACCCACCTCATATTGAAAATTTGAAATTCATAGCCCCCATCAATTTGAATAAAAAGTCTTACTCTACTCTATCATAAGGTTTGTTCATATTCAATTATAGAGCAAGAAAACTCTCTTTTACTCGGGTCTTATGCTTAAGATAATGGTGTGTTTCAAAAGCTATCATTATATTGTGAAACCCGGATAAAAATACTTTGATCTCGGCAAAAACTTGAGTCAGTTTGGTCCTATTCGATAAGATTAAATTATTAAAATATTCTTCAATTATCTCCCTACCTCAGATCTATGTCTTTCGACCAAAATTCCTTCACTCTTTGCCTCCTGAAATCATTTTGTCGATTGAGTAGATTTAATGATGAAATTTTAACTCTCCTCAACTCAGCAATACTATTAGTATCATATTTGCAGCTTAAATACGCTAGACGTCGTCACTCATCAATCCCAGTCGGGAATCCTTGCTTTCGTATCCTGCTCCATTTTTCAAGTGCCCTCCCATCGTCAGATTATCCTCCTAGTTTTGTTGAATAACCACTTTACATTACTCCTATTACTCGTACATTTACAAATTTAAAGCTCTTCTGAGTAGATTGTGTGCGAGAGTAATTAACCTTTTTTTTACCCGAGGAGTAGGGGGGCTGGGGAGGCCTGGAGTAAACTTGGATCAAACTCATTCTATTGAGTATTGAGCCTGAGACCTCTCATAAGGTAGAGTGAGTCGACGACTAGTTGAGTTGGACCGCTTCCCCATATGATCACATGAGTGCAGTGGGGGACCTAGGGCGGGGCCTACCGGGGCAAGTGCCCCGGCTTCCGCCTGGAATTTCACTACTTGTACTTAGGGTAAAATAGGTGTCCCTGCTTCCGGCAAAAAATTTCACTACTACTACTTTAGGTAAAATTAGTGTCCCAACCCGTACAAAAAATTATTAGTATTAGACAATGAAGATACTAAAATGTTACGGTTATATAAATTATCAGTTAATACACAATTGCAATTAGTTGTTGTGGCCAATTGTTTTGAATGAATTACGGGTAATGGATTGAAGACTCTAATCTTGAATGAAAATCCACATGCAAAATATATTCATTGTTTTGCTCACCAATTGCAATTAGTTGTTGTGTCCGTTGCACAAAAAAATAAGTTTGTGAGTGACTTTTTTGAATATTTGTCCATAGTTACTAACATGGTAGGATCTTCTTGTAAAAGAAAAGACGAGTTTCGGCAAAAACAACATGAAGCCATGGTAGAGATGGTAGAAAAGGGTGAACTTACAACTGGGAGAGGATTGAATCAAGAAAGTAGTTTAGCTAGGCCGGGAGCTACACGCTGGGGTTCACATCATACAACCATTATTCGTATTCTTTCTATGTGGTCTCCTACCATTCAAGTTCTTGATAATATATTTGATGATGGAACTGATCTAAAATCGAGAGGCACTGCTAGTAACTTGGTAGAAAAGATGGAGAGTTATCAATTTGTTTTTATTGCTCACTTGATGAAAAAGTATTGGGGCTGACGAATATATTGTCACATTTCTTGCAACAAAAAGATCAAAACATTCTCCAGGCTGTGAGCTTAGTTAAAAGCATTAAAGCTAAATTTCATGATTTGAGAGAAAGTGGATGGGATGAAAGAGCAACTCCAGGTGTGGATATATGAAATGAGAACAAATGAATTATTTTCTGCCATACAGACTATTGGTGAAGTTTGCAAAAAGATGGTTGAGCTTAAAGTTCACAATTCTTTTCACTTGGTATATTGTCTGATTGAGTTGGCTTTAGTATTACCAATTGCAACAACCACCGTTGAAAGATCCTTCTCTGCGATGAATATTATCAAGACAGATCTTCGCAATAAGATGGAAGATGATTATCTTACAGATTGCTTGGTGTGCTACATCGAGAGAGATGTTTTTAGGAGTATTGATAATGAAACTATTATGCAACATTTTCAGAATATGAAAACTCGTAGGCTTGATTTACCAAAGTTGCAGAAATGAACTATTTAATATGTAATTAACTACTCCGTATAATTTATGCTATTGCCTTACTTTTTACCATCTCTGTATTACATTTGAAATTTTTATTATAGAGTAAGTTTAGTGTCTAGTGTGCCCCTGCTCTGACAAATCTCTGGGTCCGCCACTGCATGAGTGGATGGACCTTTCAGCGATCAAGCATTTAGCTCTTTAAATATATCTAATCAACCTTCATTAGCCACAACATATTCGTTAAAGCTTTTCCTCAATCCACCACGATGTAACTCGACCCGTTGCCATGTCCATCGGTATCCCTCGAAATGCAAGTTACTCAATTGCCCCGTGAAATTCACGAATGCTCTCACCCAAATAAGTTTTTGACAGTCTCGTGCTGATCAACACTTAAGAAACTTTCTTCTTGTTTAAACTATTTCTCTATTATTTATGTCCTTTTTATTGGGAAAAAAATGAGTTTTTCCTAGTAGAAACCCATTGAAATTTGAATAACAAACCATATCTCCTGATAATAAAAAACGAGAAATCTCAGCCCATAGAAAGAAACTTGTCACAACTCAGTGCATTCCATTGATGAAGAAATAACATATAGAGGTATTTACAAAGTAGGGCATTAGAAATAGCAGATACCAGGTACAGAGGGATATGAATCACGCCGGCCGCGAGGGATGAGCCATCACAACACCGCCGTGAGTTGAATTCAGAAATGGAGAATTTCTATGTTTGTAGTATAGGCTCAGCTCTGCCATGCTGATGGACAGGCTCGTATAAATGAGTCTACCAGTGATAAACAGACTTTCAGGGATGACTAATTATGACATTCACTCATTTGGATAAGAGTAGATGAGGGAGGAGGATAGAGCTTGTTTTATAGGCTGGAAACAGATTTCTTCTCCTCATGTCTTCTCAGGACCACTTCAACAGTTTGGTGGGAAGAACTAACTTTGTTGGCAAACTTGGCTAAAAGGTAGTCCATCCAACTATGATCACCATATCACTTTCTAAACGGCTAAATGGTCAAATAGGTACATGAACTAACTTAAAGTGTTCAATTAGCCCCTTATATAGGAGGTTCTGCCCGGCCGTCGCCAATTGGGGCGGTTCCCGGTGGAATTTGTTGATGAAATTTTTTGAGCATCTTCTTCATTAAGTCTACTTTACCCGTATCAAATTTTAACTAAAACTTGAATCGGGAAGGCAGTCAAATGATTTTCCGAAATGTACTGCGTTGTTTAACTGCGCAGTTATCCTCAAAAAATCATTTGACTGCCTTCCAGGTTGAATTTTTAGCTGAAATTTGGTATGGGTAAACTAGACTTAATGAAGAAGATGCTCAAAAAATTTCATCAAAAAATTCCACCGGGAACCGCCCCAATTGGCGACGGCCGGGCAGAACCTCCTATATAAGGGGCTAATTGAACACTTTAAGTTAGTTCATGTACCTATTTGACCCTTTAGCCCTTTCTAAACTAATAGATTTATCATTTTAGTTCTTAATCTATTTAATTCATACAGCCTCCTTTTTAAAATGATTGACTAAATTGACATTTCTTGATCAATGGTGATCAAGTTTGACCAAGATATTTATTATACAAAATTATTTAAAATATGAAAATTATACTTGCACATTCTTTATAAATAATGGGAGATTTCCCTAAATAGAACTAAATGAAAGGAGAATTTTTAAATTCTCAAAATAGGACTAACTATTCCTATTCTACCCTTTCCCTTATCCTTTCTAATAGGATTTTATAAATAATCATTTTAAAACACAAGAAAATTAAAATAAAAAAATAAAAAATTGTAAAGAATAAATAAAAATATACATACCTCAACCACCACCCCAGCCACTTTCCAGCACCACCACCTCCGGTCGCCGCAAAAGATTGCCAAGTTGGAGAAAAATGTCATCGTGATGACAATTTTGAAAAGAAAGTTGGATATTTTCAAAGAGTAAAAATGTCATCTTGATGAAAATTTCAGATAAATGTGGCATTCTTTTTATAGAAGATGACATTTTTTCAGACGATTGGAGGTGGTGGTGCTGGGAGGTGGGGGATACGGAGAT